TTTTTTTTTTTTGTTTCGAACATGAGCGACATGATGACATTACATCTTTGTATTGGTCTTTTCTTACGAACAAATAGTTGTGCGTATTTCACCGAGGAAACAAAAGCAAAAGTCTCTATTTGATTGGTTTTATTATTGTGGAATATAATGATGAATGTAATGCGTGCAATTTTAATTCGAGAATTTGGTATAGATTAATCTAGGTTCGAAATAATTAATTATAAGTAATTGAAATTTTTCTACAGGTGATGCTAGTGTATGTAAATTGGTAAAAGATGTACCAATACCTGATATACAATCTCGAGAAGTATATTCAAAATAATAAAATTTAATTTATGCTAGATTTAAATATTTATTTAGGTATTAATTCGTGTACATGCTGCTGGTATTAATCCAGTAGATACATATATTCGATCGGGTACATATAGTCGTCGACCTAATTTACCATATATTCCAGGACTTGATTCAGCTGGTGTTATCGAACGAGTTGGTTCTGATGTTACTAAATTTAAGGTAAAAGTTTCATAAAAGATTTCACATCTTGAATAAATATAGTATTTATATCATTTGAGAGAAATAGCTTTATAGTCTTATTTTAAACTCTCCTCAAAAAAGACAAAACATGAATCCCGAGAAGCAAAATAGAGAATTATTTTGTACAAAATTTTTTCTCGGCGAGACACAAAGTTTTGCATCTACATCGAATATTCCAATGTCATCTTTTTTTTGTTTCTTATTATAAAACAATTCATATAAAATATTTGTATTTATTTAGGCTGGTGATCGAGTTTTTACAGTAAATACAATAACAGGAACTTATGCTGAATATTGTGTTGCTCGTGCTGATTTTGTCTTTCCTTTACCATCGAATATTTCATTTGAACAAGGTTCAGCTCTTGGTGTACCTTATTTTACTGCTTATCGAGCACTTATTATTAAGTAAGAAAATAATTAAAATTTTCTTTGCTTTTTATTAGAATTTTAAAATTTTATATTTATTTTATTTTTGGTGCACTTCGATCATTAGTAACTGTCTTTTTCAATGTTGCACCAAGACGAATATTTTCTAGAAGAGCTGAACGATCACCTGAACCATCGGATGATGGAGGAGGAGGAGGAGGAGGAGGTGGTGGTGGTGGAGGTGGAGGAGAAGTTGCTTGTGATGGTGGTGGTGGTGGCGGTGGTCCTGAAAGTTTAGAATTTGTTGTTGTTGTTGTTGATGAAGGAATTGTTGATGTATAACTTAAATTAATAATTGATGTTTCCATTTGTTTTGGTACAGTTGAATTTTTTCGTTTTTCCATAGTTGGTGTTCTCACAGTTGAATTTCGTTTTTTTCGCATTGTATTTGTCCATTGTTCAAGTAAAATTTTAACATCATTTGAATATTCACCTGGTATAGCTGTAAAATTTTGTAATTCTTTAGGTATAAATTTATTATTTGAAAAATAAGGTAATTGTCGAATTTCTGTTAAAGTTAAAACAGGTTGTGCTATATCAAATAAACGTGTTAACATTTGTCGTGCATCAGGATCTCTTCCACAATCATGCCAATGTTTTGGTGTTAAACCACGTAATTGTTCACCTAATTCATATCCAGTTAACATTTCAAATACAATACCACCAAAACAAAATATTTCACATGCTTGTGCTCGTGTCACACCATCAGGAAGTATTAATGATGATGTTGCACGTTTAATTAATGAATAAATGCGTGAACGTTGTTCTATAAATTGATATTCATATGAACCTATTTGAATACATGAACCAGATACAACAATATTTCCACTATGCAAATCTACAATAGGTGGCATTGATTTTGATTGAAGAAAAAGAAGACCTTCAAGTAATTGACGAGAATATAAACGAACACGTTCAAGTGATAAACCTGAACTTCGATAAGAATATTTACCCTAGAACGAAAAAAACAAAAAATAAAAGTTTATATATATATATATATATAAAAGAGAAATCTAAGAAATAAATACATGAAAATTAGCTGTTGGTACAACACCATGTAATAAATCTTTTAATGAACCTAAACGTTGATATTGTTTAACAGTAACAATTAATTTTTGTGTATATAAAATATTAATTTTTATAATTGATTCAATATATGGATGATATAAACGACTAAAAAGATTATTTAATGTTCGAAAATATGTTGTAATACTTTCTTCATCATTTAAATAATTTAATCGATCAGATTTTGGTTGAATTGTTAAAAGATGTGATGCAGTATTTGATGGCAAATTACTTGTTTTTGATATTGGTGTTATAAGAAACCAATTTTTTTCAGGATCAGAACCAAGTTGAGATAAATGAGAATGAAATATATATTCACCAGTTGTTCGTATATAAAAATGACATGTTAATAATGCTGCATTTTCTTGTGTTCGTGCACGTTCAATACGTGGTTGTGAAAGACGATAAAGTAATGGTGTTTCATCTGATGGTAAAGAATTTTGTAAATAATTATTTGGACGTCGTTTTCTTAAATACCAACAAATAATAAATATAATTATAATAGCAAATAGAATAACTGAAATAGTTATAAGAGCGATTAACAGAGCATCATGGTCATTCATGATATGATGTTTAGATGTTATAATAATAAATATAACAAAAACAAAATAGTTAAAGATAAGAATAAAACCAAACAAAACACATTTATCATCATTTCTTTGCATTTATATATTTTTGTTTTCTCTTAATGTGATAGAGGACACGCAAAACCAAATGAAACAGTTTTAATTCATGGAGCTAGTGGTGGAGTAAGTAACCAAGAAAAAAAAAGAAATAAATTCTTTAAATTATTGTTTTCTTTATTTTTTTGCTAAAAGGTTGGTATTGCTGCTGTACAATTAGCTAAAGCATTTGGTTTACGTGTTGTTGGTACAGCATCAACTGAACAAGGTTTACAAGCTATACGTGATCAAGGTGCTGATTTGGTTTTCAATCATAAACAAGAAGGATATTTAAAAGAAATTGCTGTATAATTTTTCTCAACACATGTTATTTTGCTACGGATAAAAATAATATATATTTTTATTGTATTTTAGAATGCTACAGCCAGTAGTGAAGGAATTGATTTAATACTTGAAATGTTAGCAAATGTTAATTTAAATGCTGATTTACAACTACTCAAATCTGGTGTTGGACGAGTAGTTGTTATTGGTAATCGAGGTACAATTGATATTAATCCTCGACTTCTAATGGCTAAAGAAACAAGTATATGTGGTGTTACTTTATTTAGTTCAAGTGAAGTAAGTAATTATATAACATATGATACAAAAGTCATACGAATGTATCCTTTATTTTATAAGTCTCATTTAATTATGAGTATATCATAAAAATAAAATATTTTTTTCGATGTATATTTCCGAATGACTTTTGTATTCATAATTTTACATTACATATTATTTCTTAATATTAATCATATTAAAATAGGAGGAATTTCAAATGATTAATGCTTATTTACAACATGGTCTTAAATATGGTTATATAAAACCAAAACTTGGTCGAATTTATCCATTAGAAGAAGCAGCACAAGCTCAAACTGATGTTATTTCTAATAGTGGTACATATGGAAGACTGACATTAAGAATTTAATATGTTTTGATTTACATAAACTTTCTAATGTTCTTTTTAAAAAAAGAAACATTCCTTGTTTTTTTTTATGTGGATAACAATTATATACATGATGTGTAATTTTAGCTTGTTTTAATCAGTAGTTCTATAATAAAAAGACATTTTATTTTTTAGTTTTTTTTGCACTCACTATAAATCATACTTTTTCATCGACGAAAGAAAATCGAATTTTTAATTTGTATAATCTGATGAAGATAATGCGATTGCAAGAAATACTTATATTTCACAGCACGGTCAGAAAATCTATTATCTGATCCAAAACAACCGGCACGTTGCCATTTTTCGAATAATTTTTGATAGGAATGAGATGGAGAGCTGTAATTTTCGCTATTCCAAAGAGCAGGGCCTGGACACCAATTCGATATAAAAATTAACGGGATAGCATTATACTAAGATACGGTTAATCAGCTAGACTTTTCTCTAACTTCGTCAATCTCATAAATTCCAAGATATATTTCTTGTTCAGAAGTGGGCTCGGTAGCCCCTATCATGCTGTATAAACCTACGCAAGCCGCAGGTTTCTATCATTTATTGCTTGAACAAGACATCAATTTTACTGGAAAGAACAGCATCACATTTTTATATGTTCTTATTTCTTGTGAGAACGTGAAAAATACACAGCAAAATAGGTTATCGAAAAACCAATTTTATACTAAATGAAAACCCGTCAAAAATGGAATCTAACAGTATTAAATGGTAAGGATTCTACAAAACTTTTTACATCAAACATAACAAATTTCTAGAAATGTCCGTTATTTTAGTATGAAAAAAATTTCTTTCATGAGGTAGTTCAAAATTGTGGTCTCTAGAGGATAATACTGCAGAAATTTCTAGAAATTTGTTATGTTCGATAAAAAAAGTGTTGTAAAACCCTTACCATTTAATAACTGGTATATCCCATTTTTGACGGACTTTCATTTGGTATAGAATTTATTATTGACTCTATTTGAAATCGCAGCATTATCCTCCTAAAAAAATATTTTTACACACCCTGTATATGGGTAAATCCGTGGGATTTCTACCACTTTTTGAAAGAAGGATATTCTATGGCAGTGTCCTTAAAGAAAGTTTTGTTTTAGATTTTGATAGTGTTGCTAGACGGGTCATAGTCGAAAATGGTCTGAGATAACAATTAAAACATTTTTGGCTGTATAAAGTATGGAGAACCACATCATATTTTAGGAACACTCTACAAGTATAAAGGGTATCTTATAATAACTAATGATAAATTGTTAATGATATCTTTCCTACTTTCTCTTGACATAGAGACCTGAAATTTTTATCACATATATATCTGATAAAGATCTTCTAGTTCTGAAAGCTACAGCTCTCTAGCTAAAGCTAGTGACGAGGTACATCATTTTTTGTAGTCAAGTTTTGCAGTAGTTTCACAGTAAAAATATGCAAAAATCAAGTACGAAACTTTATACATTTCAGTCTTGTCGATGTATTTCACCACTTGTTTTAGCTAGAGAGCTGAAACTTTCAGAAATAAAAGATCTTAATAAAATGTGTGTGAAGTGTTCCTAAAAACTGATGCAGTTCTCCACACTTTATATGTCCAAAAACGTTTTAATTATTACCTCAGATCATTTTCGACTATGACCCGTCAAACTAGACTATTAAAATCGAAAAAGAAATTTTTCTAGAAAAGTGGTAGAAACCCCACGGATTCACTCATATATTTTCATTAGCATGAAACCCTACTTATTCATAAGATTTTCAGCTATACTAAAATTTGGTAGTTCGAGTTAAAGACTCATTTTATTGGTTAAATCAGAAACACTCTTGTCAAGACGAAATAAACTATCTTGTGATGTTCGACGTAGTTGATACCCTATTTTGCTGTACATTTTTCACGTTCTCAGAAGAAATAAGAACATATAAAAATGTGATGCTGTTCTTTCCAGTAAAACTGATATCCTGTTCAAGCAATAAATGATAGAAATCTACGGCTTGCATAGGTTTATACAGCATGATCGGGGCTACCGAGCCCACTTCTGAACAAGAAATATATCCTGAAATTTATGAGATTGACGAAGTTGGAGAAAAGTCTAGCTGATTAACTGTACCTTAATATGATGCTATCCCGTTAGTTTTTATATCGAATTGGTGTCTAGGCCCTGGTCTTTCGAATAGCGAAAACCGCAGTTCTCCATCTCGTTCCTATCAAAAATTATTCGAAAAATGGCAACGTGCCTTTTATTTTGGATCGGATAATAGATAAAAGAATGATGGAATATCTTACATGTAGTTTAAATTATTGCATATATGTTAATGTTAAAGTTCTATTTTTTTAAATTGTATTTGTACAATATTTTCTTTTATGTTCTCTATTTATGATTTTTTTGCAAAAACATATGCATAAGTTAGTGAGTATACTTTTATTTGTAACAATATGTCCACTAATATTGCTTGAGAACTAACATTTTCCTTTATTCTTTTCTCTCAATTATAATATTTTCAATCTGTTTTTCTTCATGTTTTATTTCAATAATTAACGTTCATTTATCTGAGGAAAATAGTCTTTTACAGGTTTAATACATTTATATCTATCAATTAGATCTAAAGAAGCCAGTTTTGCGCAATTGATTCGTGTTGCATGTCTTGTGAAATTTTCTGTAATCTTTTTCATTACTTCATAAAGGACAATAAGATGAACAGTATTCGGCAAAAACACTTCTGTATGAAGTAGAAATTGTTCCACATAATCATCATGAGCTTGAACAAGACTAAGTCGAGTAAGATGCGGATATTTAATGATTGATAAATTTTGATTGTCGTTCTTCGATTTTCTATATAATTTATTCTTCTGCGGTTTTTTATTATTTACATTTAATTTCTTCATAAATGGAAATGATTGAGCAATCTGAAGAAAAAATTCATATTCAAATGGACGTTCATCAAATAACGATACTGTATGAACATTTTTAAATAATCCACCTGGAAAATTATTTGAAATATTATCATAATAATTCATTCGATATGGATATGAATAAATATGACAATAACTATATTGTTTTTCTTGAAAATAATCAACACAAGAAATAATTTGATTATCTTTAAAATCTTTGAATGTATATTGAATATTTTCATTTGAAGGTATATTAATTTGATCAGGACAACGATTAAATAAACGAATATTAAATGTAAATTTATTTAATCTTGGCATATGATTGATAATATCTTCTTTGAAATCGTTTCCATTAATGAATCCTTTATTACGATACACCACAAGTTGTAAATCAAGTTTTTCTAAATTCAACATTCGATGTAGAAGTGGTACAATTAATTCATCATAGCGATATATATCCGTATCAGAATATAACGAAAAACATCTTAGATTAGGTAATTTTTCCTAGAAAAGATAAAAGAAAATTGAATTTATTGGATACTAATTAGAAATAGTTAACCCCTGTATGAATTGTTGAACTGGTACGTTCAATGCTCATAATATTAACATGAAATATATGAAGTTGATTAAAACGTCCATCAAGTAAATAAAACAAATCAGTGAAATAAGTTACACGAATACGCAATTCTAACAAATTAGAAGAAATAACACTTGGAGATGGCATGTCAAATGAAAATTGTTGATGCCACATTGAAGATGGACCGAAAGTTGAATATTGTAAATTGTTGAACATAGTAAAGATTTGTGTGAATATAATCTTATTGACATCTTTTTTTAAAATTGAAATATGTTTTTCATCTTTACTAATATCAATAACAAGTGATGATATTTGTCTTTTGTTTAAACGAGTAAATACAATATCATCTAAATAAAAAATCAGTTTTAACAAACAAATTAACTATTTTCAATATTGATCGAATCATATTATTGATTTCTTTTTTTCAATTTATTTCAAACTAATAATACAACATACAAATTCATACTTGAATTTCTAAATGATTTTATTCGACTCAATTATACAAATAAAATAAAATGAATTCTATTTGAAGTTTTATCTACTGCTTATTTATTTACAATTAAAATGACTTACCATTAAAAAGAGATATAGCTTTTTCTACATCAATACCATATAAACCAAGTCCATGTAGGTTAGGATAATTTATAGCAAGAAGAATACGTTCCATAGATGTTGATTCAAGATTAAGCCATTTGATTTTATGATGAATTTCAGGTAAAATTTGTAAACAAAATCGATCAAGCATTGGATCAGGTAATGAAGAGATACGTTTATCCATGAAATATAATGTTAAATGATTTGTAAAAATTGAATCATATGCAATTGTATTGAGTCGTTTATTAACACCAATTAAAGAATCAAGTACTTCGACATTGTGCAAATTTTTCAGAATAATTAGAAGAATTTCGTCAGGTAAATTATTCAATTGAATAAATGAATATTTCATGTTTATCTATACCTATATCTATTCTATTTACTTTCTAAACATAGACATACTTATATGTCTTGTTTGACCTATATCGTCAATGAAAATAATGATACATTGTTGTATAACTCAAATTGACGATGAATGATTGGATAATTGTTTAAATGATATTTTTCTTTTGTTTTTTGTAGCTAATGTTGTTTACTTTTTTTTTTGTTTTTTCGTATTCACTTTTGCATTTTGTATGCAAAAGATGTTGTTTTTTAACAATGAATTCATTTACTCGAATTAGATTTTCATCAGAATAAAATAAATCTCAATGGTTTTCTTGAAAAATTTTTTCTCTTTGTCACGACGAAGTCATATTACCTGGTTATTCTTCATGCGATCTTTTCATTTCATTAATTTATGATTATAAATTTTTAAAATAAAATTTCAACTTTATTTGTATAGTATTTTATAATTATAATTATATCTATCATAAGCTGCTAGCTATCTGCAATGGTTTTTGTTCAGTGATATTTGACTTTCTTGAAACTTTTTCCTTTGATAACTAGTTTTTTTTTTCGGCATAGAAATTTTTCGAAATTATTCTCTTCAAAGTTTTTTTTTTTCTTTGAGATTTGGATACAATACCATGAAATTTAATATTTACTTATATGAGTTTTTTTATTTATTGAATTCGATTAAATTCACTGTAAAATGATTAGATTGTTGGATTCTCCTCTTTAAAATGGAATATCAACGATCTTTCTTCTTAAAGATATTAATGAATAGATCAACAGTCTACGATAATGAACTGTCTTCGTCGTTATTAAGGCTAATTTTCTTAGTTACGACGACCAGCTAATTTTTTGTCGCTAATTATGACGCTCTAATAAAATACAAGCAAAAAATTACTTTTGGAGAGAAAGAAGAATTTTCATATCTTCTTTTAGAAATAGAGGGGAATGTCTCGAACATTTTTTTTTTTGAGTGTATCTAACTCTCTCATAATCTAAAAATTTGTGGGAAAGGAATCTTCATTTATCAAGACAGAGAACTTGGAAAAAAGATATTTAACGTCGTTAGAAAAAGTTGTCCCTAATTACAAAGATAGCTTATTTGGTTTCTGACGACAATAATAAGCTAACTTTTAGTTCTAATATTTCTTACTTATTGAGTTTTATCGTCTTGATAGAAGAAATTAAATAATATTTCCTTTGAAACGCTGAAATTTTCTGATAGTGACGAGAGACTGTATAATAGAGTTTTAGAATCCACTTAAATATTTGTTTTCACCTCTTTAGTGCTAAAGTGGTGGACATAAATTTAAGACACTTTTAGTTTTTTTGCACTTTTTTACCTAACGATTTTGTTCAAACTATGCGAGTCATTTATCAATCGATGCAGAATTTTGTGATCTACATTTTGAAAAAAAAGTTTTGATCCATCATCAAATTACAGTAGTTTAAGAACTGGATTTTGATTGGTCACAGTGAAAAATATTGTTTCGAAATGAGTAGAATCAGTGGCGTAACCAGGATTTTTAGACCATTGGGCAAACTTCTATTGAGTCAAAGCCAAAATGACGGGCAAAGGTGGGCAAAGCTTTTATTGATGGGCAAAATGCACTCGTTGTTTCGCCTTCAATATGTTCACAATGAACTTTATCATCAGCATTGATACGTCGTTTTAACAATGCAATACAGTTGGAACAGAATAAGAATCAGTTATATTTATAATTGTTCTCACATCGTCTGTTGCTTTGTCTCTTCACTCTAAAAAAATAGATATTCTCGGGAATCGACGAAAAAATGTTTCTGATAGCAACAATCTCGGAAACCGAAAAAAGTTTTCGAAGTTCGAAAATCTTTGAAAGAGGGTGTGGGTGTGACTTCGTTTAAGTAAAATGTTTACACATCCACCTACGCCCTATAACGGACATTAATCATAGACGAAAAGGTAGAATGGACGATCCTTAATTCGTTGTCCGTATATCTTTCTATATATGTTTCAATAGTGAATTTTTATTTTCAATGAATTTCTCGAATCATATACTGTTTAGTTAACCTTCATATTTTTTGTAAATAAGAGAAACACATTTTCTCGAGGATCTGGTGCAATTTTGAAGTAAAAATAGTATTCGTCAGGAACTAACATTTTAATTTCATATTGTAGATCAAAGAAAATCAAGACTGCATTTTGGTTAAAAAAGAAAATGAAACATTTATATCTCATGAGCAATCCAAGAAAAGATAACTAAACTTGTTGAATGATCAACATTTACTGTTAATAATGATCACAGAAATTAAGAAGATCTTAGCTATTTCCAAATGAAAAGATTATTCTCTAATGCATGATAATTTATAGATGTTCCTATCTACAATAAAAAAAAAAAATTGAACATTATTTGAAACAATTACAATGTAAGAGATTTATCATAACTATCTAAATGATGCTATTATCTTGTTACAATAGAAGATAATATATTCTTGCAGTGTTCGATGTTATCAAAATATAGAATCTTTCTTCAATTAAAACAAATAACAATTTGACGTTTTATTTAGTATTCTTTAGAGACAAGAACACTAAATGATAAATTGATTGATACTAAAACAAAATCGTAACATCGATCAAGCATGAGACACTTTATTTTGATCAGATCACTTTCATGTAGTCTACTTTCGGTCATTGAATTACTTCGAAAAATATTCTCAAACACAAACTATTCAAAAAAATGACACCGAAAAATGTACATATTCAAATGAGCAAGTTACCTGTTAATATTCATATTGAAAAGAGTAAATCTTGATAGAGAAAAGTTTTACTGATTTTAGAAAACATATGAATAGCACGGCTCTTGTGGCGCAATTGGTTAGCGCGTTCGGCTGTTAACCGGAAGGCTGGTGGTTCGAGCCCACCCAGGAGCGTAAAATTTTGTTTTTTTTTAATATGAAAGAAAAAAGTTAAATTTATTCAAAAATTGAGTACTTCTCTTACGTAGAAAACAATGCGAACTTTTCGGAAAAAGGAATTTCAAAAATATTAATATAGAGATTTTGTTAGAGAGCTTTACTAAACCATGTAAAAATCTCAAAAACTAAGTTTAAATAGTCTTTTCAGAATAGCAGAAAACGAAAACATTTACCGATTCAATTAGAAAGAATCAAACAAAAGAATATAGAATATACGTATCTAATGATTTTATTAGAGTGGCAGAATGGAAGAAAATATTTCAAAAGTTATTTTCTTTCATTTCTTTCTATTCTGTGATTTGCACATGATGAATAAAGATAATATTGTTATAGCTTCTTCTTTTTTTCGTATTAAAAAATCAAAAATTTACGCTCCTGGGTGGGCTCGAACCACCAGCCTTCCGGTTAACAGCCGAACGCGCTAACCAATTGCGCCACAAGAGCTGTACTATTCACTTGTTTTCTAGAATCAGTGAAATCTATATCGATGAGGATTTACTAATTTAAGAAAAAAAGAAAATTATGATGTGTTTCTTGTCGTACGATAGCATCATAAAATACGTGTGAAACAAAATGTGTACGAAAGAGAGAAAAATATAAAACAAGTTACCAGTTTTCTCATAGGAAACCATAATGAACAATAAAACTAATGACTCGTCCAAAATTATAGAATTTTTTTTTCAGTCTTAAGAAGAGTTTCTATGTAATATCTTCCCCTCGTGATTGTAATGATGAAAACATCAATAATCAAACATAAGAGAAGAGTACTTTTTTTTCGAGAAAAAAACAACGACAATATTATCCGACTAATGAAATTTTATAGTTCACACTGATGACTTGGATAATATTTTTTTCTTAGAGATTGAATTTCTAATTCATTGAAATATAACGAATTTTTAAATATCTAAGAGTAAATCTACATAATGGGAAAACAATATTGCCGTTTTAAAGACTTGGAGATGTCATTTATTTTTAATGAACAGCTGTACGCTGAAGAAAAAAGTGACTATAAATTTTGTTCGTACTTTAAGGATTTAAATGATAATCATAAATTGAGAGTTATAACTCATTGAAAAGGTTCGAGTCATTTTTCAGCTCTGTATGAAAGGGTAGAAAGTCAAAAAAAGAAGCTACAATACACTCGAATTAACTTGCCGTATGCTGTTCCTTTAAATTGTATCCGAAAAAAAAGTAAATTTGTTCTGAATACAGTGACGTCAAAAGTCTCTCATCACTTTTTTGTTTTAGCTCGCGTTTCAGAACTACATGACACAGATTCAATTTTGTTTTTTTCTTCAGATAACGAAGCTCAAGTACTATATGCATGTGTATGTTTGAAACTAATAATCCTTGAATATAAAATACAGAAAAAAAACAAACTTCAGTACTAAGTATTATCGTTATGAGTTTTAGTAGGATGCAAGTAATGCAAAAATCGAGTAAGATTCTTTATGATATTTTTACATGGTTCGATAGATTTCGACGAGCTCTACAAAACTGTCTATATTGAAACTTTTAAAACTCCTTTTTCAGGACGAAAATCTACAGAAGACTCACATTTTTATATATATTTTTTTTGTATGAAAAAGAGCTGTGGATTTTTCATATAAAACAGATAAAACATGCGAGATTTCGTAAATTTTTGTCCTGAAAAAGGGTTTAAAAAGATTTCAGTACAGACAGTTTTGTAGAGCTCGTTGAGATCTATCGAACCATGTAAAAATATCAAAAGAATCTTACTGGATTTTTGCATTACTCGCATCTTACTAAAACTCATAACGATAATACTTAGTACTGAAGTTTGTTTTTTTCTGTATTTCACATTAAAGGGTTATTAATTTTAAATATACATATAAATATAGTACTTGAGCTTCGTTATCCGAAGAAAACAACAAAATTGAATCTGTGTCATGTAGTTCTGAAACGCGAGCTAAAATAAAAAAGTGGTGAAAGACTTTTGATGTGCACTGTAGTACAAGATCAGGAGCTGAAATTTTGATTATCAATAGAGCTTTCTGTTTTAAAACTACTATGTAAATTTGAACCAAATTGAACATCTCATTG